CTGTCCATGTAAGACAGGGTAAACCTGGGAGACATTATGCTAAGTGAAATAAGCCAGTCACAGAAAGCCAAAGAAGGCATGATCTCACTTGTATGTGGAATCTTTAAAAAGCTGAACTCATAGAATCGGAGAGTAGAATGGAGGTCAACAGGGGTCGGGGGGAGGGTGGGATTAGTGAGACATTGGTCAAAGGGTACAAAGTTTCAGTTAGACAAGATGATTACATTCCCCAGATCTACTGTACTGCATGTTGACTATAGTTAATGATATTATATGCTTGAAAATTGATAAGCGAGTAGATCTTCAATGTTCTCACCACCCAAAAAATGGTAAATATGTGAGGTGATGACTATGTTAATTAGCTCAATTTTGCCATTTCACAATGTATACATACATCAAAATATCATGTTGTACACTGTAAATATATACAAGTTTACTGCACCAGTTATATCTTGATCAAGCTGGTAGGGGAGTGAACATAATAGATTGGATTAACCCATCTGTCTTTCTGCCTCCCCCGATGCAGTGATATATGGGTCATGGTTTGACCACGTTCATGGCTGGGTGTCCATGAGAGAGAGGGGAAACTTCCTGATGCTGAGTTACGAAGAGCTGAAATGGGTAACCATCGTTGTAACAGTCGGTACACAGCCTCTCACCACCAACGCTTCCTCTAACTTCCCTCCATTTCCCTGTGTCTCCATTCCACCTTCTCAGTCAAAATTTAGCTTCATGAAGAGTCACTAAGAGTGAGATTAGCTCCCTGGTCTTTACTGCCCTAGTTCTGGTTGACCCTTCTCAAGCTTCGTGTTCTTTCTTCACGTGTTCTTGTTTATTTTATCTTCTTAAAACATCTAGAAGGGCTTTTTCCATGCATTCGGGCAGAGTACAATGGCTTACGCTGGCCCTGGTGGTTGTAAAAGTTTGTGTGGGCAGGACTCATGGGGCTGCTGCTAACCTAGTGTTGAGAGGGCACTGGGGAGGGAGACAGAACTGGGTAGAAACAGTTCGGTTCCAGAAATGTGTCCAACTGTCTGACGTCTCAGCTTGACAGATAAGAAGAGAAATGAAGGCATGAAATCAATCTATGTAAATATTCTGAGTGATGGACAGGAAAAGCTGACAGGTGATGCTCAGAGCCAGTAAGGGTGATTAGAACCATTGTATTAATTAAAAGAACTTGACCTATTAGTGGTATCGTGGAGAAAAGAGAAAATAACATAAACACTGGATTTTCCTTCCATCTGAGAAACATTACTTCCCATCACCTTCCTCTGGCTACCTCTGTCCAATCTTAGGTGGTCTCAGCATGAATTCCACTTTAATCAAGAAGCCTTTTGTAACAAGTTTAGCTACCTCAGGTACATGATCCCGTAACTTCCTGTAAGTTTCCTCTCAACTCACACGCTCAACTCTCATGTTAGCTCTTTCCACAGTTGCGTGTCCTCTTGTTAGATAACAACTGGGGCTCATGAAATAAATTTTAAAGCATTACAGTTCTAAAAGAAAGGTCTATGATTCAAAGCAAAGTCTTTCTGGTATAAAAATCTATTTTCTTATCATAATCTCCCAGGATCTCGTTACCAAGTACTATTATAATTATTGAGATCATATACAAGAAGATATCGTAAAACTCTACGTATTATTCAAATGTTAGTTATGAGAAACAGTGTATCGTTTGATGGCACAGACAAGATTTGAAATCAATTCCTTAAATCTTAGTCAAGTTCTCCCCGAACCTCTCCTTGCGTAAGACTAATCATTGTCCAGAAGCCTTTCTCAAAGTCTCTTTAGAAACCCTAGACCCTGTCTCTTACTGTTAGGTTACCCTAAACTCAGCCACACCGGGAAATCCATGACGAACCTTGCACCTTTTACATACTTTGTGCTCTCTCTTCTTTACCGTTTTCTCTTTCTTTCTCCTAGGTGTGTCCAACTCAACCACTTCTCCCTTCTATATCTGGTTCCTCTCTTCTTCTTCCCCCTCCTCCTCCTCATTCTGTAGTCTCCTCCTTCTCATCTTATTTTCTCTTTCATGTCCTCTCCCTTGTTTTTTCTTCTTTCAGGACACAGAAAGAACCATAGAGAAGATCTGTCAATTCCTGGGTAAGAAGATGGAACCAGAAGAACTTAACTCAGTCATCAAGAATAGTTCCTTTCAGGTCATGAAAGAAAACAAGATGTCCAATTTTTCCCTCCTGAGTGATACTTACATAGTTCACAAAGAACCACTTATGAGAAAAGGTAAAAGAAAATGCTCTGGTTTCAAAATGTATCAGAATACGTAGAGGGCATTCTTGTGCTTAAAACGGGGCCCTAATGGTTGAGATGAAGGAGTGTTGGAATGTGTCCACTTAAATTGCTCATGACCCAGAGAATGTCTCATGCGCCCTGATCGGGGAGTCTCTTTTCACGGTACTGATGCGGGCTGCAGGCGCTTGGAGATAGTTGATCCATCCTGGGATGGTTATCTGACTGTTATGAAGTCATTTAGATTCTTTCTCCTGCGAATCTGACATAGGAGGGTGTCCACTCCACAAGTAGCGGCCAGATTCAGGAGCTCCTCCCGCCAGGCTCGCAGGCCAGGATTGACCTGGGGAAGGAGGAAGGAATTAGGGGTGGTCGTGTAGGGGCTACCCCACCGATGAGTAAGCGTAGAGAACTATCCTTAACAAAGACGTGTATGAAGGAATGACTCAGCTGGAAGAAGGAGAGAGGAGAGACTTTGCTATCAGATATCATAAGGCCCCTTGTGATAAAAGCTTAATCATGTCCCTACCCTTGGGCTCAAGATGAATGAAAATGTCTATTGCATGGAGTTAAAGAATCCGTTTTTCCAAAATCCTACAGCTCAAATATATCTGGGACAGTGATCCATGAAACAAAAAAAAGTAAATGCTTCAAAAGACCTCGAGCAGGTCAGGGCCACTGTCGCTCCAGTTGGCCAGAAGGGCAGAGACCAAAAAGATTAGTCTCGAGCCTTAAAATCTCATGGAATTGGCCCTGCTAGGTTTTGGGTTGCTGGGGACCCATGACCTCTTTTTTCTTTCAAATTTCTCTCTTTTGGACTGAGAATGTCTGTCCTATGCCTGTCCCACTGTTGTATTTTGAAAGCAGGTAACACGTGTGGTTTCATAGGTCCACGGCTGGAGGGGACTTTTGCCTCAGAATGAATCAGACCTCAAGTCTCACTCATGCCTTGGTGAGACTTAGGTGATATTTAGATGAGATTTTGGACTTCGAGTTGATGCTGGAATGGCTTAAAACTTTTGGGCTGTTGGGATGGGGTGCATGTATTTTGCATGTGAGGAGGACATGGAAGTGGGGGTGCAGAAGGCAGAGTGTTATGGGCTGAATGGTGTTCTCCCAAAATTCATATGTTGAAGTCCTAACCTTCAGAACCTCTGAATGTAATCACATTTGGGTATAATGCCTTTGAATAGAAGTAATTAAGTTAAAATGAGGCTTATAGGTTGGGCCCTAACCCAATACGACTGGCAACCCTAAAAGAAGAGGAAATTTGGGCCAGGCACAGTGGCTCACCCCTAGCACTTTGGGAGGCCGAGGCAGGAGGATCACTGGAGATCAGGAGTTCGAGACCAGCCTGAGCAAAAGCGAGACTCCGTCTCTACTAAAAATAGAAAAATTAGCCTGGCGTGGTGGTGCGCCCCTGTAGTCCCAGCTACTTGGGAGGCTGAGGCAGGAGGATGGCTTGAGCCCAGGAGTTTGAGGTTGCAGTGAACTGTCATGATGCCACTGCACTCTAGCCGGGGTGACAAAACTAGACTCTGACTCACAAAAAAAGGTGATGGGTTGGGAAAGGGAAGATAGGAAATTGTTTCCAGGCAGGTACAGTGTGAATGGTATGTTGCCAGGCGGTATCAGGGCCCACCCAGGAACCGTTGGTCATTCTGCTGTATTAGCTACAATGTCCATGACGGGTGGACGGTAGCAACAGACCTTTTGAAGAAATGTGTTGGGGTCCTAAGACTTACCCCTCCATCTGACCTCAGTCTCTGTTTCACGTTTTCCAGGCGTAACTGGGGACTGGAAAAATTACTTCTCAGTGGCCCAAGCTGAAGCCTTTGATAAACTATTCAAGGAGAAGATGGCAGATCTTCCTAGAGAGTTGTTCCCTTGGGAATAACGTCCAAAAAATCCTGGATCTCATATGGATACTGATATTTGTCCTCCTGTCCCTGTACATGTGTGTGACAGGGGGGTCATGGCAGAAAATTTATTATTTCATCCTGGAGCCTTAAAATATCAAATCTTTGTCTCTTTGACTCGACTTCCTTGTTAAAAATGACCATGGTACCCCCACGCATGTCATGGCATCCCAGACTTTTTTAAATGTTTGTAACATTTCAAGCATATAGAATGCTATAAAAATAATATATTATCCAAAAAAGTGTCCAAAAATTTTTTGTAAAAATAAGAAATAGTTACTACGCCTGTCCTACGCAGGCTTTTAAAATGTATATAGACCAGGCACGGTGGCTCACGCCTGTAATCCTAGCACTCTGGGACGCCAAGGCGGGCGGATCGTCTGAGCTCAGGAGTTCGAGACCAGCCTGAGCAAGAGTGAGATCCCGTCTCTACTAAAAATAGAAAGAAATTAATTGGACAACTAAAAATATATAGAAAAAATTAGCCGGGCATGGTGGCGCATGCCTGTAGTCCCAGCTACTGGGAGGCTGAGGCAGGAGGATCGCTTGAGCCCAGGAGTTTGAGGTTGCTGTGAGCTAGGCACTCTAGCCCAGGGAACAGAGTGAGACTCTGTCTCAAAAAAAAAAAAATGTATATAAATGACATATGTTGTAATGCATTCATTGACTTATATTTCTACTCAGCATTTTATATTGGGGCTTTGTCCGTGTTGGTGTATGCAGACTAGTTTGGGATTGAGTATTCAGACCTATGACATAATTTAGTTACCTGTCCTCCCACCAATGACTCCGGGTTTCTTCCCACCAATTTTCCCACCATTTAAAGCACTGGCTTGATGGACATGATGTGCACAAAGACAAGAGATTTCTAAAATGCACATCTTGAAGCGAACTGGACGATTCACTCATCTTCATCTGGATTAGATGTTGCCAAATTTTTCTTCAATAGTTTCAGACCAATTTATTCTCCCATCGACAAGGCATAATAATTCCAGTTGCTCTAGCTACTTCCAAATATTAGTATTTTCAGACATTTAATTACGTTTTGCAACACTCTGAGCATAAAATATCTCATTGTCATCCTAATTTGCATTTCCCAGATGACTAGTGGGCTTCAACAACTTTTTAAATGTTTATGGAACATTTGGTTTTCCTCTTTCATCAACCGTATAGTTATATATTCTGACAATTTTTTTTCTGTGCTATTTATTTTTGGTACATTCTTAACATTTTCTGATTATTAATCCTTTGTCAGTCTTACGCATTAAAAATACATTTTCCTTGTTGCTTCTCCTTTCATCCATTTGTATTTTCTGTTAGAAGCACAGTAGAAAGTTTCCTGACGCTTGCCTCCAGTGTTTTTCATTATGTTACCAGAAAGAATTTCTCAATACCAATGTCTCAAAGGTGTTCTCCTACATTTTTTCCTGTAAGTATTAATTTTTTTATTTTGTGAGTATATATCTTCAACTCACACATTTTTCTTTCTTTCTGTTGTGTTGTTTAGGCGTTTAATATTTCCTCATATGAGTAGAAGAAAGTGCCTTGGGGAATTAAGATAATTCTGGGAAGAGGTTAGGAGATCATGAAGGGCCTTCTTTGTATGCTCGTTGGAAAGAACTGGAGGGTTTTATTAAAACATCATATCATATTCCATAAATGTATGCAATTATGATTTGCCAATTTAAAATAATGTTAATTTTTTTAAAAATGTTTAAGAATTTTAAGTAAGAGAATCCTGAGCACATCTGAGTTTTGTGTCACGAAGTATAAAGACTACGTTAGATGATAAGTAGACTGGGGACAGTGTGAACAGGTTACGTAGCTATTGCAATAGTAGAAGGAAAACCATGGTTTGGCTTAAGACTATGACATCAGAGATAAAGGACGGCACATACATTCAGAAATGTTTGGGAAAATATATTCACAAAACTCGGAATGACTCAGTCTGAAAGGGGAGGGTGGAAGGAAGAGAAGCTGTTGAGATTTGTTGAAAATCTCAAATGATGATGAAAATCCACCAGGACAGGAGCAAGAGAGGAGATAAAGGAAGGAGCCCACGGCACCTCCGTGTGTGGCCCCTCTGATCTTTCTAACACACCTTGCTGGCTCTCTGCCAGGAGGTGGGAGCAGAGATGGCCACCTGTCAGGGGCTGAGCTGTGTCCCCCCAAAATTCATACTGAAGCCCTAATTTCAGGTACCTCAGAATGTAACCCTATTTGGAGATAGGTCTTAAAAGAGGTCATTGAGTTAAAGTGAGATCTTTAGAGTGGAGCCTAATACAATCTGACTGGTGTCCTCACAAGAAGAGGAAATTTGGACAGAGTCGTCCGGGCTCACATGGAAGAGACCACGCAAGGACACAGCAGGAAGGCAGCCAGCCAGCCAGCGCAAGCCAAGGAGAAAGAACTTAGCCAAACCTGCCAGCACCTTGGTCTTGGACTTCTAGCTCCAAAACTATGAGAAAACAGATCTCTGTTGCCTAAGCCACCCAGGCTGTGGCCCTTTGCTATGGCAGCGTCCTGCGATGATTAATTTCAAGAGTCAGCACAACGGATGCGCAATCCTAGCCAACAAGTAGACTCCTCAAACTTACTCAACTCTGAATTATTAATAACCGTAGTTCCCACATCTGACAACTGCAAAAAGTTACCCACATACAGCCAAAGCGCCCTCTGACCCTAAAATCTCTAGCAACTCTTTCTCAGTCCCAACAAAACAGTGTCAACCGCACCCCTTCAGCAGAAAAAATACTGCTTCCAATGCCACCCAACCCAGAAAGTGGCGATGACCATTTTCCTGACTATGTTGTGTCCATCCAATGACTCTTGGTGGAGCTGCTTTTGTCTCATCCATATTTGTATTTTTGCTGCTGTCACGGCAGCTCTGGTGGCCAAGACTTGGCCATTCAGATGCATCTGCCTAGAGTTCTCCTTCTGAAGCAATGGACAAGGATAGGCTTGAAGATTCTGCATGTCAATAAATGCATTCTCTGCGTACACTGTCCACAGTCCGCTTTAGCACTGTGTACCTAAAAACCCTAGTTAACCCACAACTGCAAACATAACGTCATCTCACTCAATTAGCCTGAATCCTGTGTTTCATTCTCCGCATAGCATAACTCATAGAGTTTTGCTTTCTTGGGGTGACATTTAGCTGGTTCCTTTGTATAGTCTCTTACAGACTGGAAGTTAGGCCTGAAGACATAATAGGATTCAAATTAGAAATGTTTGAGGACGGTGCAGTGGCTCACACGTGTAATCCTAGCACTCTGGGAGGCTGAGGTGGGAGGATCACTTGAGGTCAGGAGTTCGAGACCACCCTGAGCAACAGCAGAGACCCTGTCTCTACTAAAAATAGAAAAAATTAGCCAGGCATGGTGGTGCATGCCTGTAATCCCAGCTAATCAGGAGGCTGAGATGGGAGGATCACTTGAGCCTAGGAGTTCAAATTCAGCCTGGGCAACATTTGTGAGAGACCCCGCCCATCTCTAAAAAATAAAAACAAACAAACAAAAGGCAGGGGTGAGGTGGCTCACGCCTGTAATCCTAGCACTCTGGGAGGCCAAGGGCCAAGGCAGGAGGATCGCTTGAGCTCAGGAGTTCAAAACCAGCAAGAGCGAGACCCCATCTCTACTAAAAATAGAAAACATGAGCCTGGTAGCTAAAAAAAATCAGAAAAAATTAGCCAGCCGTGGCACTCTATTCCGGGTGACAGAGAGAGACTCGGTCTCCAAAAAAAATAATTAATTAATTAAAAAGGAAAAAAGATGGGGACAATTGCCCCCCCCCAAAAAAAGAAATGTTTAGTAAGACTACACCATGAATGAATTTGCAGTGTAGCTCACGCTGTACCACAGCTGTTTCATTCATTTTGCTTCATGACGTAGAACTGTCCTGAGCTAACGGTGGGCAGTCATAAGTGGCTTGGCCTTACAAGGTCTGGAAGGAACAGAACCACCTTCTTCCTCAGGCGGTCCGAGGGAGAAGCACGTGGACAGACTTACGAGAGTGGACGGAAGCATGCAGAGCTTTGTGCGCTCCATCCATGCCCACTCAAGTTCACCCTCCGAGGCAGAGACGGTGCTCACCTCCCACCCCACTGTGTGCTCACAAGAGGCTCATGAATGAGTAGCTACAAGGGAAGGAGGTTTTACATGGGCTCCAAAGCTTGGTCACCCTATGGGGATGGCTGATCCAGCTACTGCTGCTTTTGAATGCATGATCTGTTGGGCCCAGGACCAGTTCTAAGCCTTCAATATGGTACCATCCCTTGAGAAGGTACCAAGCAGTCACTTAGCAAGTTCAGCACATCAGACCCATGTCAACCCAAAGGATACAGTGGTTTGTTATCATACTCAATACCTTCCAGTATATAATGCTTCGGCCACCACCACTATCCGAGGGGGCTGACAGAATGCTGGATTGACTGACATGGGAATCTATACATCATTTGCTCCAAACACAAGATCAATTGTATGAAAATGGAATTGCAGTGATGGGCACATGACCTCAAAATTCACTGGCCCTGCAATATACTGCATCATCAGAAAACAGCTGACTCGATACAGAACTGGAGTAAATTATTAAAGCATTATCTAAGGTACGAGCTTGAGAACAATCACCAGTAGGTTTTGGGGGCTGTTCTCCAGCATACAGAATCAGCAATAAGCCAACAGCTGGTTAAGGAGGATCACTTGAGGCCAGGAGTTCAAGATCAACGTGGGCAACATAGCAAGACCCCATCTCTACAAAAAAGAAAAAAAGAAAAGAAAAGAAAAAATTATCTGGGCACAGTGGCACACACCTAGAGTCCAAGCTACTCAAGAGGCCGAGGTGGGAGGATCCCTTCAGTCCAGGAATTCAAGGCCACAGTGACCTATGATGCTGCCACTGTGCTCCAGCCTGGGCAACAGAACGAGACTCCATCTCAAAAAAAAAATTTCAAGTTTTGCTCTGCAGTGGGCTCAGTAGGTGGTTCATGCCTGTAATCCCAGCATTTTGGGTGGTCGAGATGGGAGGATCACTTGAGGCCAGAAGTTCAAGACCAGCCTGGGCAAGATAGTGAGACCCCCATCTCTACTACTACTACTACTAATGATAATAATAATAATGTGAAGTTTCGCTCTGCAAAAGACCCTATTAAGGGAATGAAAAGATAAACCAAGGATGGAGAGGAAATATTTGTAAATAACCTCTGGCAAAGGACTTGTTCCCAGAATGTACA